TCACACAAATAATTTGACTGCCTAGTAAATCAAGTGATGGTAGCCCTGCCCAGGGGACAGAGCAGTCTAGACTTAGCAGTCTGCCCCAGCCCCAGGACAGGGGGCTGGAGAGGCTGTGGGCTTGCTCTCCAGTTTTAACAACTATACCTGCATCCTTCCTTCCTTCCTTCCTTCCTGCCTGCCTCCCAGGTTCTAATCCAACTCAGCTTCCAGAGCGGTCTGGTTCATATGTCAAGCAGACATGGCAGTGGGCTAAGGTATCACTCAAGTCAAAACCAGCATCTGTTCAGTAGCCCACAAGACCACATCAGCCAGCCCCACCCTTTGGATCCCAGTGTCTCCCTCTTTCCCCATGCCTGCACTCCCCTCAATATACAGGGGTCCCCTGACCACCTCAAGCCATCTGCTAATGCAGGATCTTTGTGCTAAAACATGGGAATTCCCCAGCTAACCCCTGAGTAACCATGTCTTTGCCTAGCCCTCATCTTGGACTGAGCACCTCTTGCAACTGCTGCCTGCCCCTTGCTCGCAGCGTTCCTGAGACTCCTCCTCAGATCCACGATTTTATGTGCAGTTTACCTCCTATCACACCACGCCAATCTAGTATCTGTCCTCCCTGCTAGAGCATAGTCCCCACAAAAGTAAAACTTTTCTCTTGTTTAGTCACTCATACCTGCAGTAAATGAGAGCCAAGCAACCTGGCCCACAGTGAGCACTCATTCAGTGTTTGCATGGTGGAAAAATGAATGAATCCTGGTCTCTAAAGAGAGACATCAAAGAGAACAGACCAGGCTCTTGTTCATTGACATGCCCTTCTTCTTCAGCCTTGGGTACCACCAGCTTCCTCATTTTGAATCTCAAAGAGAAGCATGGAGTGGGAGATACGGTGGGGTGGCACTGGCTACTTATTCCTGTAGAGAACTATGAGGAGACAAATGTAAGGAACCCCCACCCCCAGCTCTCAGCCTGGCTCTATCACTTACTGACCAAGGGTCCCTGGACAAGCCTCCCATCTGCTTTCGGCTGTGGATTCTTTCTATCCTAACCTTTCAGAGCTATGTGGGTTCAGTCTGGAAAGCATATTTACTATAGGCAAATAGCAAATAATCACCGGCTACCACAAGTGTTAGCTTCACTGCTTAGCGAACAGGTGGAGATATAGATGCTCACAAGGGCAGTGAATGAAGTTGTTGTGTGGAGGAAAATAAGGCCTCTTTGCAAGTTTGGTGAACGAAGTTTTTCCAGTGAGAGGTAGTGATCTCAGCATCTGCTCAGGAGGAGATGCAGAGGTCAGACGAAGGCAGTGCTTGTGGCCTGTGCCAGCTCTACCACTCCTCCCTCAACCCCCCAGATGCTCAAGGAACATCCAGGGCCCCCTCCCTATACCAAAACATGCTCATCTCTCAGCCTCAGGAGAGGAAGCTCTTGGCCACATCCCTTACCTCCCAGGGCCAACTGAGATATTCTCACTGTAGCTGTGTCCCTTCCACCCACTCCAGCCCTGCTCTTGGCTTCCAGACACTTCTTCCACATCCTTGTAAGAGGCCACACTGGCTGTTTCTGCCACAGGATTACACACTTCCTGTGTGTCTGGTACAGAGGGCATAGGAGGCATAAGAGGGCCTGGGAAATGTCAGGCTTGAATCTCTGAAAGAGGCTTTACTTCTCAGAGACTTCTGCTTTCTCCTCCCCCTCTCACCTTGGCAAGGAGCCCCAGGAAGGCTGAGAATGTAGATGGTGGGGAAGGAAGAAGCTGAGGCTACCTCTGTGTTAGACAAGCTTGTCCAAGCTCCAGTGATCCACAGGTTATGAAGCATCCTCACCTGGCCTGGGCTATGAGGGTGTGCTGAGCAGCCAGAATCTTCTGCAGCATGGATGGGGCATGTGCTTCAGCCCCCATTCTATGCGCTAATGCAGGAAGCCAGCTCATCTCCAATTGCTGCTTCATAGCTGATGAAGGAGTTTCCCATCAGTCCCTCTGCTCATCCTCCCAGGAATCAGGACAGGGAGTATCCAGTGACACTGTAGTCAAATGAGAGGCAGAAAAGCTTGTGTCAGACTTGCAGTTGACACCAGAAGAGAAGTCCTGGGTTAGCACTATCCCCTTCCGGCCTCAGATATCCAGTGGGACCAACTTAGGCTGGTTTTGCTCCCCTTGCCTGAGCACTGCTCTCAGCCATCTCCAACAGACAGATGACTAGGCTAGCAGCACCATTTGGAGGGGCCAATGGAGACTGGCCACAGGTCTACTTAAGGAGCATCAGTGACACAGCTCAGCTTAGGTTTGGCCACAGATGTGCTCTGGCTTGGGGGCTACAATGTTGACACAGAGATGTGGGAACCTGGGCTAGAGGTGTGATGGACTGACCTGGCTTTGCTTGGAGCAAGTATCACAGGGAATGCCTCTGACTCCAAAAGACCAGGCTTTGAGGAACAGCATGGGGACCCAAAAGGGACAACAGGTTCTAAAAGAACAGCTCATAATACTATGGATAGTCATGGAAGCATGGAGTCAGGTTTGGCTTCCAAATGTGCTGATTCCTTGGCCATGTTCAAGAAGCCTGTTGTCCATTGTGAGTGAGGTGGTGGCCTTCATTCTGAGGTGAGTTCTCAGCAACAGGAAGTAATGGGAGTATGTTGAGGTTAGGAAATAAGCCCCTAACAGCACACAGAAGCCTCCTCTTTTGTCTCCTGCCAATCATTTTCCCACCTTCTCTACAAAGGGAACCACATTCCTGACCTCAGTCAGGACTTTAGTCCCATGCTTTCATTTCAGAAAGTTTTTTTTTTCAGGTTTTGTTTTGTTTTGTTTTTGTCAGTCATGGGACTTGAACTCTGAGCCTGGGTGCTCTCCCTCAGCTCTTCAGCTCAAGGCTAGCTCTCTACCACTTGAGCTACAGCGCCACTTCTGGTTTTCTGAGTGGCTTATTGGAGATAAAAGTCTCACAGTCTTTCCTGCCTGGACTGGCTTTGAACTGTGATCCTCAGATTCTCAGCCTTCTGAGTAGCTAGGATTACAGGTGTGAGCCACCACTCCTGGCTCAGAAGGTTTTTATAAATACAATGATGTCAATATTTGTTTGTCTGGATTCCTTTTGTTCAACATTGCATTTGCGAGACTTTTTTTAGAGCATCTTGTTCTAGCTAAGGATGTGCTTGAACTCTCCATCTTCTTGTCTCAGACTTCTGAGTGCTGGGTTTATAGACAGGTATCACCATGTCTGGCATTGTGAAATGTGTTTTTATTGAGCTAAGTAATTTGTTTTTTATTGCTGTATAACAATATACAATTATACCCTAAGCTATTCATTCATACTACTTTTGGTGGGTGATTGGTATGTTTCTAGCTGGAAGGTTTTAAACATTGTATTTTAGAAAGCACTGAAATATAAGTTTTGGTGTGCACACGTTTCTATTAGATATCAGCCTAGGCATGCAGTTCTTGGGTCATGAGAAATATATGTTCACTTATATGAGATACTGCCAGTTCCCTAGTAAGTTGTGAGAACTGTGCCTCATGTCCTCTTGAGATGTCTCTGGTTGCCATGGGGATGATTGTAGCCCACTCAAGATGACTTCATTACAAAAGAGGCTTGCCAGCTCCCTCTCCCACAGTGCACTGTGCACTGTGAGCTAGAGAAGACCCAGAATGAATAGCACCAAGCTAGCTGGGCACTCTGGGAAGGTTCAGGGGGAAGGGAGGTGGAAAAGGCTTCATGAGGACATAGAGCCAGAGCTAGGTTAGAAACATGGCTGATTTCTGTAACCTCCTTAGAAGCATGGAGAAGACATGTAGACCCAGAATTTGTTCCAAGTGCAGGAGCCCTGAGATAATGTACATGAGTCCAGAAAACTGAAAGGAGTTTGACGTAGTTTTAACAAAAGGTATGGATTTGGGGAGAAGTCCAATACAAGGCTGGGGAAAAGCACATCAAGCAGCCAGGAAGGCCTCCCATGATGCACTGAGGCACTTGGGCCTTGTCTTCCAAGCTCTCCCTTATTAGGCTGGTGCAGTTGATCAGGTGAGTTGTACAGTGACTCCAATTGGAGCTTCGATCATGGCAGAAGGACAAGGGACCAGTCAAAGCCATGAGGAAAGTGGAATTGGCAGGACCAAGGAGAAGGGGACTAAATGAAAATGTCCAGGTTTCCCCCACAAATACCTGATTACTGCCATGATAGGAGATGCAGTGGGGGTAGATTCTGAGGAAGGATGAGTTTGTTGTATTCTCAGGGACTCAATCATCAGGACCATACCCATTCCAGCATTTCTGGATTTGAGGGCCAAGTCCAGCTGAGCACAGATTTAGTAGTAATGGAAGTGTTCAGACAGCTTGGGCTGATGTGTCACCACCCAAGCCCTGCAAGGAGCTCCCTTCAAACAAAAAGTGGAGGTTTTCTCTTTGCTACTGTGGAGCTGTTTTAGGGAACAGCCTTGAAGGTTTGGAACATACACAGGATGTTCTTGGGCTACAAAACATTCTGGAACATTACCAGCATGGAGGAAGCATGTATGTCCAGAGCTTGGGGAGCTCGGGGGCTTAAAAACAGTATTCAAGAGTCCTAGTTTGGTAGCAACCAGCACTAATGACTCCCAAGGTCCAGCTGGGGAGAGGGCATTAGGAATGGGAGGACTTGGGTCTCTTCAGGTGCTCAAATGAATGCTGACAATGGCATGGTACCAAGGAAAGAGGCCTTCCAGAGCTAGCCTCAGATCGCCTCTAGCCTCAGAACTATACCAGCAAACAGTGTGCCACATCTTAACCAAATAGACACAGCTTGGGGCAAGAAAGTCTCTGCCCTCAAAATGAACAAAGGCACAGTGAGGAAACTGAGTCACACATTCAATCTCAGGGAGGAGACCAGCTGGAGGAGCCTGAGGTCATGGGAATGGTGGTCCCAATCCACACAGATAATTCTAGCCCTAAGTGGCCACTGGGCTCCCTATGTCTCCCTGAGTTGCCTACGTGTCCTCTGACCCCTCTGTCCACTGCTCCTAGGGAGGCCCCATCCAGAACCGCAAGTCCAAGCGCTGTCTGGAGCTGCAGGAGAACAGCGACCTAGAGTTCGGCTACCAGCTGGTACTGCAGAAGTGCTCAGGCCAGCACTGGAGCATCACCAATGTCCTTCGGAGCCTGGCTTCCTGACCTCCAAGCTGCCATCAGCCTCCCCTTTGCTACTGTGTAGCATTTGCTGCAATGTCGCCTGCTGTCCGCGTGGGGTTGTTTGGAGTCTGGGGGTGCCAGGTTAGTGGGCCCCCTCCACAGAGCTTTTTATTTCCTATCGATTTTCACGGAGTTTATAGAAAGATGACGGGTGGTGGGTGAGGGTATAATATCCTAAACTATTTTGCAACTGTAAATAGGGGACATGGAAAATATTTATAACTGACAATAAAATACGATTGATTAAGAAAAAGGGGGTTGAAGTCCTTTGGTTTCTAGAGGAGATGCGTTTCTGGTTCGTCTGAACTTGTAGCCAGTGTCAGATCCCTCTTCACCCTTTCTGTTTCTCATCCCTGAAAAAGGAGGCTTGAAGCATCTGCAACCAGTGGGAGCTTGTTCAAGCTGCTAGCTTGCTCTGTGAGGTCCAAAGCAGTAACCCAGAGGAAATGTCCTTCCCTATTTCTTTCCTGCCCTTTGGGTATGTTCTACCTCCTCTGAGAAATCACCGCTACCCATTGGTCACTGGGCTGGCATCTGCTGGCTACGTTTCTCTTTCCTGAAGTCACCAAGTCTTCTCTTTTTTCCCAAGCTGTGCACGACCCACACCCATCGCATGACAGTTGCCTTTGTCCAGTTGCTAAGACCAGTTGGACTCTTGCCACAAATCATGCTGTACTAGTTTCTTGTGGCTTCTATAAGAATCACTCAAGACTGGGTGGCTTAAAGAATAGAAAGTATTTCACTGTTCTGGAGGCCAGCGGTTCAGAATCAAGGTGTTAGCCCCTTCCGAGGGCTGAGAGAGGATCTGCTCCACGCCTCTCTCCTGAGGCTTCTGGCGTGCTTAGGGGTGCCTCAGTGTGTAGACATCCCTCTTTTTCTTGGATCCCACACTGCCCACCATAAACATGACTGCCTCTCATGCCCAAGTTTCCCATTTGTATAAGGACACCAGGCCTCCATTGAGAAGGAGCAATTTCAACTGGATTATCTAAAGAAAGATTCTACTTCCTGATAAGGTCAAATGCTGAGGTACTGGGGTCAGGATTTTCACCTGTCTTGGGGACCACAATCCCATGCATAAGACAAGGCTTATTCTGTTTGGGCTTCACACTTAACTGGACTGCACTCATTCCCTTTCTCATTCCAACTGGTATCTTCCTCTACCTGCAACCATTCCATAGATCCAGATTCTTCTCTGTCTTAGCCTCACCCCACCCACCTCTACTCCACTCTAAACCACCAATCTCTGTTCTTCCTGATCATCTACAATGTCCTACATCAGATTTCCCAAACTCTGGTCCCCAAACCAGCCACAAGAGCATCACTCACTTGGGAGCTTTCCATCAATGCAGTTCTCCAAGCCCCACCCTGATGTCCAGATCAGATCATCTCTACAGACTAACGAGACCTCCAGATGACAATGATGATTCTCTGCTGAAAGTGGAGAGCCGCTACCCAGCACCCATGCAGGCCAGGACACACTGGTCCTCCCACCTACCTTTGCCCAGGCCTCCATTCATAAGTCTCTGCGTGTTTGCAACAGTCTCTACTGCATGCCTGCAAACCATACCACCCCTCACCTACCTGTACTTAACACCTTCACTGCCAGCACTGCATCTCTCATGCAGAGAACAGAATGGGGGCTCTGGAGCCAGATAGCTGAGGTTCAAGTCCTGACTCTCACAGGAGATCTCCTGTATTTGAATGCTTTGTGCATTAATTCCCATCACTTAAAAAAATAGAGATAGGCTATCTCTTTTATGGGGTAGCTGTGAAAATTAGATAATTAAGTTTGTGTCAACCACATAGGCCCATGATGGTACATAATCAGTGCTTGTCTATTGTTATTTCATTCAGTGTCAGTCGCCACCATCCACACTGTTATACCAACCACACAGTTTGCCATTCCTGTCCATGTCTCAATCCACCCACCTGGACTAACACCCAGGCATGTCTGTTCCACATGCCTGAAAGCATCTGCTCTCACACTTTGCTACCTGCATACACACACACACACACACACACACACACACACACACAAACTCTACACATTGTTGCCTTCCTATCCAATGCACCCCAACGTCAACACATGCTTGACCCCTATACTCTGGAGAGCAAACCTGAGGGCGGCACCACCCCCTCACCTAGGGGACAGTAGGAACAGGACAGAGGAGCAGCTTCCTCTTGGAATGTCAACTCACCCTCTCCCTGGGCCTAGATGCTGGGCTAGGAGAAGAAGGAAGATGCAGCCCTCTTTTCCCTCTGGGCATGAGAGCCATGTGGCAGGCCGAGGATCTCTGCTGAGATACCCAGGTAAGAAGCAGATGTGTGCACAGCCGAGGCAAGAGATCAGAGCACCAAAGAGGACAGAGGCTGATGCAGGGGTGTCTCAGTGCATGTCCAGCCTTACCCATCCCAGCCTCAGCTAGCTCCTGCAGCAAACTAATTAGCAGCTGTTTAGGGACTCTCTCAACACCCTGGAGTGAAATCATTATTTTTCTTAATGATTTTGCACATTAAACAACTTTGTTTCCTGCTCCCACTTGCCTTCCCTTGACACTGGAAGGAGCGTTGTTTTGGCCTATCCCACAATATTCCCTGGACTGCCAGACTTCTGCTTGGGTCATGATGCAGCTCTACCACACAGCCCAGCCTTGCACCCAGTCTCTGCTCATGGGCCCAGCTGTTATAAGTAATGGGGGGAAAAAGACATCTCTTTGTTCCCTGTTGAAAAGGACAATTGTTGGCAGTTATAGAAGAACTTGTCAATATCCCAGCATGTCCTAGCCAGTGCTGATGGACACCTGTCAATAGCCACAAGTCTCCAGCTCCTCCAACTTCCTGCATCTCTTCCCTCCTGCTAAGCCTGGGCACAGGAAGACCAGAAGTACCAAAACCCCAGCCAATGTGGGATTGGCTACCTCATGTCCAGGGGAACAAGTGTGAGTCCTGATGCCCAATCTCTCAAAGTGTCCCCCGGTTGCCCCTAGATTCCCTTTGCCTTTCTTCCCTTCCTTGTCTCTTTTCCTCCACTCCCCTTCCCAAATCTGAGTCTCTGGATCTGCTTCCAGGATCAACTGCCTGTGCCCACTTCTCCTGGGGCATGGCTGCCTCTTACAGCCCACCTGCACCTGGGTACCAGGGATGCGCAGATAGGCACCTGCACCTGGACCGCTCCTTTAAGCTCCAGGCCTCATCTTCATCATGCTCTTGTCTAGGCCTTGATCAGATATGCAACCTTGGAGATGATGCTGACCTGAAATGCTGGAAGTGGATCTATCACTGTCCCACCCAAACTGGACCTATCCCAGTGACAAGCAGCTCCAAGTGACTGAACTCCAGATCCTTCCATCCAACCCCTTCTCATTGTTGCTCAGCATATCTGGGCAGTGATGCCTTTTAAACAGTTCCTGGGCTCTTCCATGAGCTACTTCACTGCCTATGCATCATCCTCCATGCTACGATTGTCATGGCTTTTTCTGAAACATAAATATCAGATTCATTTCATGTCTAAGACCTCCAGGAACTCGTTGGAGATTGTCGACAACCAGCTCAGAGACCAGACTCAAAACTTACTCCCACATTAGTGCAAAGGCCAAGTGTGCAAAACATCAAAGCCAGGGTCTCAGACACAAGTGGGCCCTGAGGACAAGCAAGCTCCCTGGCTGCCATTTCGACTGGACATCTATAGCATCTGCACCATTTTTCAGAGGTGTTACTATACCATGGGCTTTGTCCTTTTCAGAAAACTTTCATTGAGAGTGTATATTAATTTCCTAGGGCTGTCATAACAAATTTCTATAGCCTGGGTGGGGGGCAGGTACAAGCCATCTGGAGGCCTCACAACCAAGATGGAGGTTTGGACAGGACTGGCTCTTTCTGAGGACTCTGTGTGATGGCTCTTTTGCTAGCTTTTGTCCTTGGCTTGTAGATGGTGACTTCTCTGTCCCTATTTCTAAGTGTCTTCTTATAAGGACAGCACTCATAGTCATGTGGCCCATCCTCATAATATAAACTCCTATTAACTTCATTACTTCAGTACAGACCTTATCTCCAAGTAAGGTCCCCAGAGTTAGGAAGTCCATATGTACCTTTGGGGTACACTTGAAGCCAAGAAGAGGTGGTAAAGAACAAACTGAAGGCCAAGGTCTTCTGTGGGGGAGAGGGAGCAGCCTCATTGGTCCTCACAGTAATTAGAGTAGCTACTACATGGTGACAGAATTTTTGCCTGGGTACCTGAGGCGTTCAACATTGTCTTCCATGTCCACTTCAAAAGGGATGTGGAAAACTGCCCTAGCACAGCACAGCTGTGACCCCCCCCCCATACCTGGCACCCTATAACCATGGCGATGATGTTTTCCCTCCACACCAGCTTCAGCCTGACCCAAGGGCATCAGCCAGTGGTCAATGCCTCAGTATAAAAGATGTGGTGAACCAATCAAATTCTGCCTGGAGGACTGCATGTTACATGACACATGTAACAAAGCAGCCATTTACTGAAGAAGGTCAGGACCATTGGCCATGCATAGAGATGTGTTGTGGTGTCGGACAGTAGCCCAGAGGACTGAGCAAGCCCCAGTTCAGGCATGTGAAGCCACAGAGGGAAAACCACAACTAAACGAAGAGAGGAGCTGATTTGCAGAGGCAGCAGATGACAGATAGGCCCTTGAGCAACCAGGGTTTCCCACACCCCAGACCTAACCTGTACACACCTTAATGATTCTTCTTTTCCTTGTGGAATAGAAGCAACCTGATCTTTACAATAAGCAATATGGATAGAAGCAGGATGTAAAGAATTAATACATCAGAGCTACAACCTTCAGCTGTGTGAGAAGCCTCACGCAGTCCCTGCAGCTGTGACACTCATACAACAGAAGTACACACGAGTACCGTATTTGCACAAAATATGTGTACACACATGAAGTTTGTCTTACACACAACCACGTGCATGTTCATACAAACAGACATACACATACACATATACACCAAAGAGAAAATGGATTTCTTCTCCCTCCAAAAGATCTTTGTTTACAATAATAATGCACCAGGTGTGGTGGTACATGCCTGTGTGATCTTACCTACTTCAGAGGTGGAGATAGGAGGATCATGTTCTGAGGCCAACTTGAGCTGACAAGCAAAAAGCAAAAGCATTGGAGGTGTGTTCCAAATGGTTGAGGCTTTGTACTCACAAAGCTCTGAATTCATACCCCAGTACTTCAAAACAATAAATAAATACATAAATAAACATAAACA